ATTTTAAGTCGTCCCTGCCACGACAGCTTGAAGTTGGTAATATGTCTATTTGTTTCAGACTATTTTGTACAACTTGTTACTCAAAATATTCAACTCTAACAATTTATTTCAAGAACCCGTACAACAATATTTGTATCTCTTTCTGAATCAGAATATGATTAATTGTTGAAGCTTGGACCTTGTTCGTTTCACTTCATGTTGATAATTTTAGTACAAGTAATTTCATGTGAGAGAAAATATTATAACAGAAAAAGTTAAATTTAAATTTTTGTAACAGAAAACACTGTAATAAAAACTTGAATTGTGATTCGAATTAGTGAAATAAACGAAGCCTCATACTATTGTCCACTTCAAGGCTTCTACCTTCAAAACAGATAAATTACTACTCGTAACACAAAACCTTGTTATTTATTTATTTGTCTTCAAAATTGCCTGTAACACGGCTAGCTGAGTAGCGAGTGAGAATATTATACTGCAATGTTTGGTACTCAATTGAATTTGCGCTAGTAGTAGCACTAGCCCTCGCATAGGGTTCCCTGGTGATTTGCTGACTCAGAAAAGCTACTGGATGCCTTGGCGATTATGCTCTCACTTAATTCATTGGTGCTATTGGTTTTTAGATAGTATGATAATTTTTATTGGTACTGGTTTGAGTCTTTTAACACTTTATAAGACAATATGAATAATGCAGAAACATAAAATAAAAGAACACAAGAGAAATGGTATTGCGGTTCGGTAACACCCTACTCCGCGAGGTCATGCCCAGATGATGAACAATCCACTAAGAACTCTTTTACAATTCAATTGGATTTAATCTACCCGAGACTCCCTCTCTAAGAAGACGCCTATGAACTTGCAATTTCTCAATGGACTTGAACAGCGAGATCCCCTCGACTTTTTAACATTGGAATCACTCCAACTAAGTTTTTCTCCCGAAAAACACTCAAATCATCTCTTTAAATACAAGTGCTCACCCCTGTCTCACAACCCAGTAAAAACTCATCAAAAGGCGTACAAAGACTTAAGGGATACTTTCAATAAATAAGCAAGCTGTGAATAACTTGACACATCTTCAATTAATTCGTTGAACCAAATCTGTTGCAGATCCTTGTTGCAACAATAACTGCAACATAGCTGTCATGGTCAACTTTCTCAAAACCAGACAAATCAATCTCCTTTCATTCTGAAATCTTTCCAAAACTGATAAACGAACCTAGACATGTTCTTAGGCGACATAGGAAGATCATCCAGCTATGAAATCTCAATCAAGAATCAATCAAATCAATTTTCCATCTTTGAATATCAATAGTTGACTTACAAAAATAAAAACTAAAACAAGTTTCCAGATCTTTTAGTAACTTTCCATAAAAAAGCTAGCCAGCTACACATCTATTTTCAAACACAATCAACCAGCCAAACATTCCAAAAATAACGCCAATCAAATACGATTAGAATCAATACACAAATTAGGAAACAAATCCCAACAATCTCCGGAAATAAATTCCAACAATTTTGCTTAATCATTCGACAAGTCCTCTGGTTATCTGTACTTCTAGTTTGTATTTGGTTTGTTCAAATTGTTTTTGTTGCCCTTTTCTGGGTTGTAATTATTTTTTCAATCTCTTTTGTAATTTTTTTTTATTTTAAATTTTTGAGCTGGAGACTGATAGAGGATTTGGTTGTTCGTAAGTGCCAACTTAGGATGTATTAGTTACCTTTGATATTAGTTATTCTTTCGTAGTTTATTGCAAAAAAAAAAAAAAAAAAAAAAAAACCCTTAAATATTTGGTGTGTAAACGGAAGATGTATTTCGTTATCCACCAAACATATCGCGCGGTATAAGACGTCTATACACTGGCGAAGTTATGCCCTCTGTGGTGCGGTGCAGCTGTTGGAGATGGAGGAGGATGTGGAAGGGTTGCGCTTTTCGTTGTGGGCTAGGGACATGTGGATGCTTCAGTGTTGCTATATTATGGGGGTTTCAGCTCCGGTGGGGCGGCAACTCCATGGTTGAAACGTTTTTCTAGTTGGTGGCAGTGGGTGGCAATGGTGGCTCAGCCTTTTCTAGCATTTCTTTGTCTTGATTGTAGCATTGCGGCTCCTTTGCTCATCCACGATAATGGTCGGCTTGTCATCAGAGATTCAACTGATGTCATTTGGGTTTTGCCCTTTTGTTTTGATTTGTGTGCTTGTTAAATAAAGATGTTGATATTTCTGCCGTTTAGTTTTAATGTGTTTATGTTGTCTTGTTTGTTTCCGGAGGTGGTCTCCCCACCTTCCGATGTTGTTTTTAGGTCTAGTCTGCAAGTTTTTTTTTTTTTTTTTTTTTTTTTTTTTTTTGCGATATGCGTTATGGTAGGCCCCAGTGCTTTTAGTCTCTTGATCTCAATCGACCAGAGTTATCCACTTATTGTAGTGGTGTGTTTGAAAGAGCCATTTGTGTGCTCGATTAATTGTGTGCCTTTTCAGTTTCCTTTCTTTGGAACTCGGTGCACGTATTACCCCTTAGAGCGTTTCAATCAAATTTACTGGTAGTGCCGGTCTATGGTTGGGGTTAAATTGTTAAATGCATTGTAGTCTTTTACGTCTAAATTAGTGATTGTACCTTTCTGCTTTGGAATGCAATTCCCATTTTCAAAAAAAAAAAACTTATTTTCTTTTTTGTTTTAAAACCAGACGCACAACAGTTGAACGTGGCAAGCAAGTAAAGTCATTAATTATACCTTTAAAAAATGCTCCAAAAATAGTTAAAATAGCAGATAATTAAAGAGGATTTCATTTTCAAACGTCCGTATCACTTTATAATTAGTCAAGAATCAAGCCTTCTGGCTAAAGGCATTATTAGTTTATTATTTTGGGTTTGATGACGAAGTACTACAAACCTTAACAAATCATTTTTTTATTTTACTTTAATTTTAACTCTTTTTACCAAATGAAAAGTTGGACACTCCTCTATATATCTGAACCAAATACCTTTTTGTTTTTTGGGGGTAGAATTATTGCTAATGACTTCTGGACTTTGTGTAATTAGTCAGCTTTTACTCATATTTCTACGCACGCTTATTTTGTCAAAATCTCTTCACAAGGTTTGACCTAGGATTATAGAGTTAAGTTCTTCTGAAGTGATAAATATTTGTCCACGTAATATTGTAGCAAGCAATACGGGAACTCTTCTCACACCTAAACGAATATAAAGTAAGATAGTTGTTTCTATCGTACCTTATTTTCTTTATTGACCTTATAATATTCTAATATAGACTTGCGGAAGTTGAATCCATATTGTGGATCCTATCTTGGTTACATCAGAATAGTATATGTTTGATAATATATATATATATATATATATATATATCGAACATAAAAGAGACAAAATATATGCAGAAAAAAAAAGGGTACGTATGAGCATGCACTAAGCATTAAGCCGAAAATCTGAATTAAATAATGTGTTAATTATTCCGCCAGTAGTGTGAAAAATAGGCTGTCACTTGTAGTGTCACTTTTTGTTTTATATTTAATATCTGCCACTTTACTTAAATGACCACGATTAGCTAAAGAATATATATTTGATATCTCTGATATCGTTTTGCATGTAATGAAACTTATTAGCGCGCGCGCGAATTCTATAAACCATGCATCATGATTGCGTGGAGAGGGGATTAGTAAAATGAAGTAAAGGATTCCGCTTACATTTTTTTTTAATTGAAGTGCGCCCATATGATATTTTTACGTTTTAGTTGACGTGATGTGATAATTATCGAAAGGATATAAAAAGAAACACAAATAAAAGAACACAAGAGTGAATCCTGAAACAAATGGATATGATAGTTCTCTCCTCAAGTCAATGAGCTAGCGAGAGGGACGTGATACTAGAGGGAAATACTTTATGATATAAATTTAAGTATTGATATTTATATATATATTTTTTATTTAAACATAAATCTAGCAATCTATTGTTCAATATTGTACTACAGATTGATATATAAGTATTCTCTACCATATAATTAAGCCCCTTTTATATCAAATTAGTAGTATGATCAGAGTGGTGTAGTAAAGTAATGTTAGCAAACACTTTCACGTTTTCCTTGTTGTTTTAAAATTTTAAAATATGGACGCATCATACAAAACGTGGACGTTTAAGGTACAAACCCCATTTTGCCGAGTGGCGGTTTCTGCGGGTTTCGTCGGTGGTAGTCTAATTTGCACTCTTATTTCACAGTTCTCATTTTATGCCAAGAATAAAATGTCAAATATTGCTGCATGCTTAATTTGTACCAAAGCACATGCATGTTTTTTTTTACCCCTCCGAGAAAATAATAGTTATAACATGAAGTGACAATAAGAAAATAAAGTTTGGGAAGTCGAAAATAATAATGTTAGCAAAGAATAATCAAACTGATATATCTGCAACTTTTGACAATGTGGATTGGTTTGCCGAGACCAAGATATATAAGCTTATATATATATAAATATAAATATTTATATACATAGATGGATATATATTATGTATGGTCCCCACGTCCCTCTCGAAAAGTATTAAAACCAAAGAGAAATAAAAATACATTTTAAAAATTAAAATTAAAAGAACTTCAAGTGGGGACCACACATCAAAACCTGAATATTTCTCGCCGATCATTCCTGTAACGTTTCAAATCTTGAAAATGTGTGGGAAACTTCGTTCTTGTACTAAAAAGTTTGACCCTTTTTTATTCTTTTTCATTTTTCTTATTACAACAACAAATAAAATACCTAACCCCTGCAGAAAAAGTTCACAATCAAAATAAACAAGAAATATTTCCACAGACGAAAATTGGATTAACAAGACCATATTAATTACAACCAGTCACCCACACACACTTTTTCGGTTCCACACGCGTGCTTATGCCTTTGATTTCATCAATGACACGCAATCTCTTACGCTGACTGACCAAAATATTACTCCAAAAATGTGAATATTTATTATTCTTATCATTTCATGTTCAATTTCTTTGGTGTGTGTTTGAAACTTTGAAATCGACTTTTCCTCTCTTCTTTTTTGCTTCCTTTATTGGCAGCTAGGTAATCTGAAAAATTCTCTCATGTCTCATCATCTACACTGCCTATATATATCCGCATATTCTCCCACACATTTATCTCACACTCGCATTTAAAATTCAACAACAACAAAATTCCGAAACTCACTTTTTTGACAAAGCCCGCCAAAAAAAAAAAAAGAAAAAAGAATAAGAATGAGATCATTAGCTAGTGAGAATCGCCAACTTTTGTCCAAGATTGCAACCAACGACGGACATGGCGAGAACACGCCTTATTTCGATGGCTGGAAGGCCTACGACCGAGACCCATTTCACCTTACTAAAAATCCCAGTGGTGTGATCCAAATGGGGCTCGCAGAAAACCAGGTAATATATTACTTGTAATAGTACTTTCTTTCAGTTGTTTTCTTTTTTCTTCTTTTCTCAGTTCCGAACACGTTGGAAGAGGGTATTTCAAATATTGTACTTCACCTAAGTGATTCTACTTACTGAATATTTTGCGTTTTTTGCTTTTAGCTTTGCTTCGACTTGATTGAAGACTGGATTAGGAAGAATCCCATAGCCTCTATCTGCACAGCTGAAGGAGTGAAAGATTTCAAGGACGTGGCAATCTTTCAGGATTATCATGGTTTTCCAGAGTTTAGAAAGGTATACATATAACACATACATACACAAGAAACGTAAATTTTTTAATAGGCATTTTTAGATTTGCTTAAAATGGGAAATTCTGGCGTATAAATCATGTAAATAATAATTGGTTTTATTCAATTCAGGCGATTGCGAAGTTCATGTCAAAGGTGAGAGGTGGTCGGGTCACATTCGATCCGGACCGCATAGTGATGGGCGGAGGAGCCACCGGAGCAAACGAGATCGTCATGTTCTGCTTGGCTGACCCTGGCGACGCTTTTCTTGTTCCTACACCTTATTATCCAGCGTACGTAGATACTTTTCATACGATCAATATGATTTTTTATCCGTTTATAATTATTTGGTGTTGTTTGGTGATCAGAAAACTCGCGATACCTAAAAATCACCTGAAGTTATTGAGTGATATTTATGGGATTTTTATATCTTATTACATATATTTACATTTTATATTTTAGTAAATATATTGTCAATAGATTAGTCCAACGTCAAAAGCATTTATCTCATTAAGTTTGTCATATAGAATTCATATTTGAACTCGCGAGTCTGATAGACTTTCGGCTGTTGACCAAACGCAACTCTAAAGGGCCCCCGATCACCATTCTTTGGTAAACGCCTGAAATTTCAAGTTGTAACCATTGCACACGTGTGACGTTCCCATTTGCTGGAACTTTATATATGTTTGGACAATTTCCAAAACACATTTCTTTATCAATATTCCAAGGCGTACATATGCCTAAAGTCTTAATTAATCCAGTTTGTTCAACTCTGTCCTCTTTCTGTCTCATGGCCCACCAATATTTTCTTAGCTCGTAAATCTTCCCTTAGAAAATGTCACTTCGAATTAATTAATTAATAACACACGTACCAAAGTTCGATATATAAAAAGAATTTTGCTTACAAAAAGGAACAAAGCTTAGTTGTCTCCCATCTACTGGATTCAACATGTGTTTGGACAATTCCCAAACCCCATTTCTCCATCATTTACCTATAACCCTGTAATGTATAATATATAAGAGTCAAAATCATTACAAAATTTGTCAAATCAATAAAAATATTCTGCAGCTGGTCTCATTATGCCTCGTAAGTACGTCTCCATATGGTCCCACTAAATAGAATACTATACACGCACGCACGCCATGTTTGCTTTGTACACAAACTTTTATTTACCAAAATTTGTTTTCCACTTGATCACTTCCCCTAACTATGAAGATTATACTCACACGTATACAAACCTAATTTGAATTGCATGCAGATTTGTCAGAGACCTTGGATGGAGAACAGGAGCACAAATAGTGCCCGTTCACTGCGACAGTTCCAACAATTTCCAAGTAACCAAACAAGCCTTAGAAGCAGCATACGAGAAAGCCCAAAACGACAACATTAACGTTAAAGGCCTCCTCATAACAAACCCATCAAACCCTCTCGGCACAACCCTAGACAGACAAACCTTGAAAACCCTAGTCAACTTTGTCAACGACAAGAACATTCACTTGGTATGCGACGAGATCTACGCTGCCACGGTGTTCGACTATCCGAGCTACGTCGGCGTTACCGAAGTCGTCGAAGAAGTCGAAAACTGCAACAAAGATCTCATCCACATCGTCTACAGCTTGTCCAAAGACATGGGACTTCCCGGTTTTCGTGTCGGAATAGTCTACTCTTATAATGACGCCGTCGTTAGCTGCGGCCGAAAGATGTCGAGCTTTGGATTAGTTTCCTCGCAGACTCAGCGTCTTCTCGCCTCCATGCTCGACGACGACGTCTTTGTTTCGAACTTTTTGTCGGAAAGCTCGAAGAGACTGAAGAAGAGGTATGAGAACTTTACCAAAGGGCTTGAAGAAGTGGGGATCACTTGCCTCAAGAGCAATGCCGGATTGTTCTTCTGGATGAATCTCCAAAGACTCCTAAAAGAGCAGACATTCGAAGGCGAAATGGCGCTGTGGCTGGTGATCATCAATGAGGTCAAGCTCAACGTGTCCCCAGGGTCTTCTTTCCAATGTTCCGAGCCTGGGTGGTTCAGGGTTTGCTTTGCCAACATGGAGGAGGAGACCGTAAACGTGGCACTTGAGAGGATTAGGTCTTTCGTCGGGAAAGAAGCGAAGCAAGCGGCAGTGCCGCCGGTGGCAAAGGCGAAGCGCAATTGGCGGAATAATGGCAATTTGAGGCTTAGCTTCAATTCAAGGAGACATGAACAAGAGGGAGGTTTTATGTCGGCAGCTCATATGTTGTCTCCTCATTCACCTATGCCTCAATCTCCTCTTCTTCGTGCAAGAACTTGAGGGGTTTTTGCTGTCATATTTGGCCCATATATATATATATATATGTTATCGTTAATTTGACTATACCAAATAGAATTGTTAAATGAAATAAGGTTTGGTATAGATAGGTTATATAATCATTCGTTATTCGTCTTTTAACGTATAATTCTGGTTCAAGTAGCTAGCTGGATGGATATCTTTTTCTCCCATGTTTTTGGATGCTAAGAAAAGCTATAGCTTTTTTTTTTTTTTTTGTGGGAGCTAGAAACTAGCTGAAAAGTGTTTAGTTATTGATCATGATGTGTTAAGATATATGATGTTGATTAAAGTGATTAGTTGCCTAGTAATAGTACTGGACAGCCCTAGGCAAGTTTTACTGTTCATTTCCTTTTATTTCTTCTCATGTAATTTTGATTCTGTAATTCACATGAAAATTATATTTGTGTTAAATTAAATCAAATTTCTCGTGATATACCTTGGCAAAATATGGGGCCTAATACATTGAATGTGCTACTTTTCCCTTATGACGGTTGCTCTCTCTCCAGGTTTTTTTTTATTTTTTATTTTTATTTTTTATTTTTTATTTTAAGGGGCTTAGTATTATTTTAGCAAAAATAAGGTGCGGTGTATTACTAAAATTAAAATATGTATCACACTGCCACATGACGGCGTTTTTCTAATAGTAGCAATTTGCTATATCTCTCTCACTAACCTAAAGGAATTATGTGCTTTGGTGACAAAAAAAAAAATGTAAACTAATTTTTGAAGGTGAAAAATAAAAAAATCTCCACTAATTTTTGAAGCATTAATTTGTTTTAGGAACAATTCTTATTTCATTTCATTTGAGTTAATTGATGAAAGTCGGTTGTTTATCGAAGTCGAGATTTTAATAATTGTGCTAGTCTAAATTGGTACACCTTTGGAATATATCATCCCCTAAAAAAAAAAAGGATCTACCATTTTTACCCGCAATATTTTTCTTTTGAAAGATTTTAACCGCAATGTTTTGTAACGCATTAGAGAGTGGAGACGTTTGGTTCATAGATTATAATCATGTGATTAGCATTATTTTTAATTTACGTGTATTTTTTATGAGAAAAAATACTGTAGCGAACTATGAACCATGATTCAAATCATGGTTTGAATCCTCCGACCAAACATAAGTGTGTAAACTGAACTCAATGGGTTTGTCAAAGCCTTTAATTGGTGGTGACATAAATACTGGTCGGTGTCTTTTTCCGGGCCTAAAAGAATGTTAATTTGGCTAAGACAGACCAACTTGACCAACACAAGAAAACATGTCAAATATTGGTGGGTCAGGTACGTCCAATACATTCCAAATGTTCAATAAGCACAAATTACTTGAGAATCACGTTATTCCAGTGCTGTATACACAATCCAACAAAAAAACATGTCCCAATTGCTAATTGTCGTCCACGTACGTACACCACCCACCATTTGGTGAAAATGGCGACCTTTATAACAACGACCCTCTGCCAATTCATACAAGAAAAGTAATCACTAAGCGATATACTTAAGTGGGATCTCAAACCGTAGATCAAAGAAGATTAGGAAAAATTATTATAATTAACAAACTATACAAACTAATTACATAGTGATATTACTGATGTACTAGTCATCCGCATTATACATATTTCTTATAGGCCCTAAAAACTGTCTTTTATTGATTTGTCAGCAATACATATGCTTGGAATAAAAAGATATGTAAAATGCCATATTTCATATATATTTGTGTGTTCAAAGGTAACCATACAAAGTGATAACTCACAGAAATATAGTTATTTAGCATACTTTTAGGCTTAATATTTGTTTATATTCTCCGGGTAAAATGCCTTTGTGTTAGTATTTTGAATAGCATTTATTAATCTTTTTCCGTGTGGCAGAAAGTTGTTATTTATGGGAAATCTTGCTATATTTTGAAGTTATTCCTCAATTCAACTCATTGCATTGACCCTGGGAACTTAGTGCATGATGTCCACAGGAGGTGCTGACGTAGGCTTTTGGTGAGAAAAGCACGGTGGAAAACACAAATGTTGAAATGCCCCTAATGCCATAGCATTGCTGCAGCAAAGTCGCAGCAAAAGCAGGAGCAGCCAAAAATTAGCAAGCTGGCGCAGTTTGTCTTTTAGCGCTGGTAGTGGTCCAAGCACTGACGGGACAGCTGTAAGAGCACCAGGAGGGGGGACCATCAATCATGACTCTCATGCATACACTTGTCACTAGGGCACCTCAACATGCCCTAGTATATAAAGGAAAAGAAGAGTATAGTACGCGAGAGGGAGAGAAGAGGAGAAAAATCAGGGAGGCACACAGAATTCCTGGATGAGCTGGAAACGGAGATAGAAGAGAGTACAGGAGATTTTGGACGTTGGAGCTGGAGAAAAGAAGAGTACAACACGGATACACAGGGGTTTTTGACCTCAGATTCTAGTTTAGCTGTTTTCTCTTTCTCTTTGTATTTACTTTCCGAGACCTTATGGATCTGTTATTTGTTATTAATTCTGATTTTGTTGAACTAAACATGAGCTAAATTCCTTAGCTAGGATTATTGATGGAACCAAAGTTGCAATGAAGATCTATTTGCTATTTTGATTGATAATGTAATTTTCATCTGGTTTATTCAAGCATATTTATTGTTTACTTTCTATTAACTGACAGGCCATCATTTAGTAAGAAAACACAAACTTAAGCTAATTCTGGAAAGGTTGGTTGAGTTAGATCTAGCTTGGATAATGTAAGAGATAGTATAGGAATATACTATTATCTTGCACAACCCATTAAAATTGATGTTAACGTCAGGTCTGTAAACTAAAACACATAGGAATATGTTGGTTTGGTTTAAGGAATTACAAGCATAAATCTGTCGGAAGATGATTATGTAGAATTTTAGGTTGACTAGATGAACTTTGCTACAGCAATCGTATAGCAAATCGTGGTCAGAGTTGCAACCGAGGGGAAATCAGTAATCCTAGCCTTCATCCATCATTAAATCACAGCTCTAAGCTCAGATCTTGTTGACTTTTACCTCTTGTCTGCATTTAAATTACAGTCTTTGGTCTTATACATTCTTTTCACTTAATTAATATCAATTTGGCATTCAAACTATTCTCAATCATATTGATAAAACTAGTTTTTGTAATAGAATTCCTCATTAACTCAGTCCCTGTGGAGACGATACTTTACTCATTACTATATTACTTGTTCGATTGCGTGCGCTTGCGTGGAGTCATTTTATGCATAGAGTTTTTGGCAAACAGTGACGTTTAGTTTGAAGGTTCAAAGAGTTTGAACTTAAATTCAAGTTTAAACCCGTGTTTATTTTACAAAAGGTAAAAAGTATTTAAATCCTTGATATGACATTTCATAACCCAAGATTCTAAAAAAATAAAAGATTTTTGAATCCAAGTCTCTCATAAATTCTCAAGATTTAGTGGCAGTTCGTCTCTTGACTTTTGGGCAAATGTTCATGTACAACTTCATTTTCGTTTTGTATTGCATTGTCACTTTTGTTATAAGGTTGGACACGTTAATGGAAGCTGTAGCAGTGGTGCCCTGTTTCTGCAATTAATGACGAAGCAAATCAGATGACTGATGGAAATCTAGTGATTGATCTATACTACAATGAAAATTAGAAACTGCGTAAATTCATTAATGGTAGGCAATGTATCACAGTCACATGTAAAGAGAAAATAAGAAAGCAAAAAGACCGCAAGGAAAATGAGTAGGAGAAACACAGGCACACACATTTTGTAAGTACTGATAGCTACAGGGATAATTATGCAGCCTGCCAGTGAAACACGCCGTGGATCGACTTTTGCCACAGAGGGCAAAACTATTGCAAAAAATGCCGGATTGCAATTAATAAAGTGACCATTTTAGCATTTAAGTTTCTTTTAGCAGGGAGTTTATATTGAACCTTTTGAGTTTAAATTTGATGTGAGATTTTGTGAAGTTTGAACCTCAATTTAAATACGTGTTCGTTTAGAACTACAAATGTTATAAACGAACTAGATCATTGTAGAAAATTGACCACGTCTTTGTGCAATCAGATGGAAAAGTTTTCTTCTGTTTTCAAATCACACACAAACACACACACATTCTGTTTTCAAATCACATACAAACACACACACACACACACACACACACACACACATGTATATATCAAAATTTTGCAAATTCTGTAAAATTGAAATTGTTGTTTTCTTCTCAGTTTTTTTTTACCGCGAATTAGTATTTGGTTATTTGATGATACATCATTTAACTGTTTTTTTTTGTTTTTTGTTTCATGATGCGTAAAGTTAATCCGGCAAATAAATGTGTAAAGGATTGGAGAGCGAATTATCAACGGATTTAAGTTCTTTTCTCAAATTATATATTTGTGTATGTTTCAAGCACTAAGTACAGGTTGAAATACATTGTTATCTGATTGCAAAGACACAGCAAGGGAATGGGCTTGTTGTGCCTCTCTAACAGGTGAAGGAATGTCCTCAATCTCTCTCTTGGGTTTAACCCATCTCCCATGAGCATTACAAACCAACCCCTTATGGGCTAATTGGTACCAACACTGTGGAATTCTAAGCTCATCCACCAACATATCACATGCCTTGTTCACTAAAGCAACATCCCTCCTTGCATTGTTCCTAAATGTGGCCCTTGTGCTTAAAAAACCATCCACAAGATGCAGGTAAGTCTCCAAGCTATGAAACCCAATCAAATTGAATCCGCGCTTCAAATAAGATGACGACCGGACGTCAAGTTTCAGCTCAGCCCCAACATGGGTGTAAATCCATTCCAATGTTCCCGTGATCTCATCGAACTTCTGCAAGCTCTCGTTTAAAACTAGCCCCGGCATTCGCGGGACCATGTCTTGCTTGACAACAACTCTCAATGTCCTCACACCCATTTGGTGAAGCTTGTCTCTGAAGGCGGTGTTCCCAACTCTTGGGGCGCCAAAGGAGATAACGCTGATGGGCAGCCCGGGAATCGCATGCGCAGCCTCATAAGCGTTGAGCAAAGCGAGCGCCCCACCGAGGCTATGGCCCGTGATTGTGAGGCTAACTTCTTCACCCTTTGCCCTATACATCTCCACAAGCCTCTTTACTTCCTTCATGACTTGTTCCGAGGCACTCGACTTGTTATATCTCGTAATCTCGCTTTTCGACGTGTAAATGCTCAAGAACCCATGTTCAACTTTGGCGTCGTGATTCCCAATTGGCTCCAACTCCCTTTGAA